TTTTTGCCCTAGCAACTGAACCTCTGGCTGCCGTGATCAGGGTCTATACAAATATAAAAGGGCTGTCAATACATTCTTTGGAAGAGCGAATCTCATATACAGATGATACCTTATTTGTCAAACCCTAATATTTATGTTAATTTTATTGGTATCTATCTACCAGTAGCTGCCTCATTTCCCACCCTCGGCTTATATTCGGGTCAATACTTTTTCCCAGTTTTTTTTTTGGTCAAATTAGGTACCTCCTTAACATCCTTAAAAAGAACTTCCTCCCACAATTTCTGTATATTCTCACTGTCAAATTTTTAGAAGATATTTTAGAACAATTGACTCAATTGGGTGGCTATGGAGACATTACAGCTTCCTCAGCCAGTGGCAGGTATGGCCTTTACAAATTTTTATTTGATTTAGCAGCACAGTTGGTTACAGTGCATGATTGGTTGGTCCCTAAAGTGGGCCTGTATGGCTACGCAAGCTACCATTGTTACATATTTTGTGTCCCTTCACAATTCGGTCCACCCAGTTCCCACCCTGGTTCTACCATTATTTCTACTACGATTCATAGAAATATTGACAGGAGAGATGTTGCTGCAGCTCTGTAGCGCACATATGCCTCCTTAAGTCCCTTCTTTAGAGCAAAATGTGTGGGAAGTTTAAACAGCAGTTTAGGCACAGAACAGTGCCCGGCTCCTGGAAAACACAAATCCACATAGCCCAAGCAGTAGAAATAAAAAAAAGAGGCCATCTACATAATTTGAACACACTAACCAGTATGCAAAGCATTGATAATGCAGAAAGAATATAAGATACCCACTCGAAATTAGCAGCTACTGTAGATGTTTCACACAGCCTCATGTACAAAAACAAAGGAAAAAAAATCCTCAGTACAGTAAATAGCCTGCAAGTCATCAACAAAATGAGCATTTAAAGATGGAGACCGGAACTAGCACACATATGGTTCTGATAACTCTGCACAGAATATCCAGATTGCTGGCCTGTCCTGATTAAGCAAAGTCCTGTGCCACTGGAAAACAAATGGATATCAAGGAAGGATGTCACCGCCAGGTGCAGGACTGTCGCAGAGAGAACACCCATATACTAACTGGGAAATTCTGTGGTTGATGGATAACTGGAGAGACTTCCAGAATCATCTGGCATGACTAACATTCTCCTGAGGACACCAAGAGTAACAAATGTGTGGTGGGAGGTCTTATAGCCTCAAGGGGGTAGGCTTCAGTTTATATGTGCCCAATGTCCATTTCTCATGTAGGTGCTTATTATAAAGATATGTCCCTCAAAGGTCTGTGGAGAAACAGCCATTGTATGAGATTTAGCTAAATTATTTGGATCTGTGTGAGCGACCAAATCTTGCTATCCTTTTCTAAATTCCTTATACAGGATTTTAAAAAGATTTTTTGCAATGCATAAAGTTTACTGAATAGGTACATTCTCAAATTGCTGCTCTCATATTCGGCATTGTCCAGTGCTACTGCCCAATGTAGAACCATTTACAAATGACAGGTGTAGGGAGAAGAGTACGGTCACATGACCTGCCAAACTCATGTGCCTGAAAGGACTCCACCAAATTCAATACATGGCCAGTTTCATACACTTTTTGGGAAACCTGGTAGGAAGATATCGATGTCATGGTTCCTGGCTATCCTACCACTAAGCCCACAAAACTATTGTGGCTGGAATTTGGCACTAACAGAATGAAAAATATATCAGAGTATAATGTATCCTTTAGTCATTATAATGATTGGAACAGTTATCTTGCCACCGAGGTCAATGAAGAGACAAAAAAAAAAAAAAGTTGGATAACATTCAAAAGTTCATTACCCCTGTTGGAGGAGTCTCCATGATACAACAAACTAATGATTCAAATTGGGGAAAGTGCCACTATCTTAACTGTTGCTGTAGGTAGGCAGACACAAAAATTAAGAAGCAGATATCTCAGAGACCAGATTCCCGAGAGATAAAAGATATGGGTGAGTGAATGAAACTGCCTACATCTACCTAAACTCTAGTTCTACGTGGCTATGCTCTTAATCGAGATATTTACCAGCAATAAGCAGGTTACATGTTCCTCCTCCAACCTTTGCTTTGTCAGGGCCTGTTCAACATCCCAGCCTGACGCAGTAGATCCAGTTCCAAAGCCCGTGCCTTTAGCCCAGTAAAGCTGTTGCTCTTCACATGTTCCACTATTATGAGTGGTCGAAACCTGTGGCTTAAGCAAAAATTAGGATGAAGAAAAAAAAAAAAAAAAAAAAACACATTCACATACACACAAGAAACTGTAAAATGGGAAAAAAAATGCCATTTCATTGTTTGTTGCAGCAATTGTTTTAGGAAGACATGATTTTACCCTCTTACTGTTAATGTTGAGAAAATTATTTAATAAATAGCCAACTTCAATAGCAGATTTATTAAATACATCTGAAGACCGGCTACAGAAGTATTACTATTTTGGTATCACAGCTTAGGTTGGTTCTCTGAATGCTGCAGAGTTTATTCTGCAATGAAATACAGAAAGGAATGCATACAGTCAGATAAAGACTGGTTGCTCTGGGATTATGGGATATTATAATCTATTCTGCTGTCTAGAAGGAAGTCTTCTAGTACATTTTTATTACAACCTTTTCAGTTCAGTGTAATGATGCCTCATACTTTGATTAACAATTTGATATAGGGGATCAATAATACAGAACACTGCTTTAGATACGTCATACTATTATGTAAGTTACCCAATAGCACTTTGCAAAGACCAATATATATTAGGATTGTCATAAGCTGCTGCGGAATAGAAAACTTCATAACTTTGTATGTTATAAAGCCTTGGTTCTCAACTGGTGGGTCGCGACCCCACTATTCAGTGGGTCGCCGCATGCCTTCCACTTTTCTAGGCGAGAGGCTCCTCTGCCTCCCCCTAGCGCAGCACTGTCAGTTCACACCGAACAGCCATTCAAAATATGCTGCCCGGTGCAGAGTATCAGCTTGAGGTGGGATGGGCTGGGGCTACAGCTATGAGGGAGCTCCATCCATGTGCATTGCTTACAGCTACCTCACGTCTCCTATAGAGTTGCCTGGACCGGAGTGATGTCACATTCTGGCTCCCAACACCTCTACAGGGCGCGCAAGGGAGCTGTACAAGCAATGCACATATGGATAGAGCTCCGTTACAGTATGGCAGTTCACACTGGATCCCCAAGGGTGAGGAGCCACTCCAGTTCTTGTAAGGTAGGGATATTGGGTGGACCTTAAAAAAAAAAAAAAAAAAAGGAGATTCTTTGGAGTGTGTGTGAGAATGTGTCTGTGGTTGTGTATGTCAGTGTTTTTGAGGGCCCATTCACACTAGTACAATGCATTAACACACTGTACCACACAATCACACCTACCGTGCATTCTGGTGTGGGAGGCGTGTTGTTGCCATTTAAATGTTACCCCAAACGCACCTCCCACCCACAGTTCGTATGCCCGCACCGGACCTCGTGGTACCCTAATGCCATGCGCTCCATTGCAGTGCGACTTGGGTCGCGACTTAATGACCAAGGACAAATGTGGATCCTGAGGTTACACAGGTTGAGAACCACTGTTAGATGAGTCTCTTACTGGATGCTTTACCCTGTGTAACACTGAATATAAACTATAGTTTGGATGTACTTCATTATGTTTTGTTATCAGTAAAATAGATAATCAAATGAGAATTCACAGAAAAAACAACCTGAAGTTAGGCTGCTGCCCCTGTATTTTCTTGTAGTGTCGATATATAAACAGGAAGCTAGGCCAAACCTTTCACACTGGTACTGCTTGCCAAGGAAGTAGCAATTGAGCCAAGTTTGAATACACTGGTGTACAACCGGTTTTGTTCAGCAACAAGAGGGCTGCACGGGGCCGACTGCAAACAGCACGGGGCCGACTTTCCGTCAAATCAAGAAGCCGGGAGGCAGGTCAGGAAGCCAATTTTAATCTGACCGGAAGTTCCGGTAACGGAGCATTTGGCAGAGTAGGAGTACTTGCCCAAATACTCGGTATCGGCACCGATACCCATACCGATACTAGTATCAATGCATCCCTAGGACATATTTTGCTACAGTGAGTCTTTAACCACTATGGGGGTTTTATTCCAAACAAACCTTTTGTAGTGTGCCACAGCTCAAAACAGCACTGTCTTCTCAAAACAGTTGAGCTAACTAATGAAATTCAGTTTTTTATTAAAAACATATCATTGCTTTCCGACCACATACACATACCTCTGTCTGATTAGAGCTGGAATTGGGTATCCGGGGTGCATGATGACTTAAGGCAGATAAACAAGCAAGAATGAGATGTATCGCCCCAATTTCAAGTGCCATGCGTCGCAGGAGCACACCATCATCTGTAGTGAGTGGCATAGAGCTGAATAGAGTGCGCAGAACATGAAATGGAAGAGTTGGTAGGACATTTGCAGATGGGGACTGTAAGATGTGACCTAATAAAAAGGAACATAGCAAATGATTAGTGTACAAAATGATTAATTTTAAAAGATAATTTTTTTTTTTTTATTCACCATAAAATGCACATAAAACCTTTACTCTTTGGGTTATACTATCGCCTACAGATGGATTGGACACTGGCAACCCCCCCTGGCAATCCTCCCTACTCGGCTCCATCCTCACCGACCCAACATAGGCCCCATTCAAGCTCGGAATTTTTGTGTGTGTGTTTAAAAAAATATTTATCTAAAAACCTGGCCCAAAAAAAAAGTAGCATCCTGAGCCATCTGTGCTGTCCTAAGCTAGGATGGATGGTCTGTTCAGTGCTGCTATCACAAAGGGGAGGGAGGGCAAATGTGCTTGAGTACAATTAGTGGTCGCTTGGAAATTGCAAACTTAAATGCAAACCGCATTAAAGTAATAGTAGGTGACCTTTTAAAATCAGGTTGGTCAAGGCTAATAGGAAAAGGATTGTCAAAAGGCATTGGGAGCTGGGCAATGCCAAGGAGGACATGTACCAGTGCAAAACATTTTGTTTAATAGGCGTGTGATATGTGTGCGTTTTCATGTGTGTGTGAGATGTGTGCGTTTTTAATGTGATTTATTTTGTGTGTTTTTATGCGTTAGTGAAATGTGTGCGAGCTGTGTTTTAATAAGCGCATCTGCTTCATTCCCTGTGAGATCTGTGTGTGTTTTAATGAGTTCGTGATATGCTTTTATGTGTGTGTTTCATAAGCATGTGATATGCGTGTGTTTATAAATGTATGATCATATGCGTTTGAATTTGTGAGTGTATAAATGTTTGAATATGTGTGTTTCCCTATTTTGGCTAAGCAGTGATGCTGGACTTTTTTTTTAAAACACCAGTGCCCAAACTAAAACACCACACTTTTCTTTTTTGAGTTCGCACTTTCAGATAAATTAATTGATTTTGCATTGCAGTTTGGGCACCCTGATTCAAAAAGTCATCACTGCCCTAGGACCAGACTACAGAACACCTCCTCTCCATAACATAGGGTCTGATATTTCCCTTTTAAAATCGAAAAAGAGATTGAGAACACAGAGTCCTCAATCTCTTTTTCTGTATCCCCCGTTATCAATGAACTGGAAGTTCCTGTTCATTGATAACATGACATAGTATGTTTACTATAACTACAACTATGAATGAACAGGAGGTGATATAGATCACTCCCATTCATTCATAATTGAGGATATAGTCAACATGCTATGGTCTCAATTATATACAAACACTCAGCGATCCTCTGACAGCTGTCACAAGAGGCTGAGCGAGCAGAGCAGGGAGAGCTCAGCCTCCTGTGACAGTGCGGGCTGTCTGCGCCCCCACACCACTCTGCGGGACTGTGATAGGAGAGACACAGGCCGCTCACAGAGCTCGGCCGGCTCTCACTTTCTCTCCTCCCCGCTGAGACACAGTAGCGCCCAGCGGGGCGGAAAGAAACCTGGGATGCGCCGATGTATCGGGTGGAAAATGCCACTTTTGGCATTTAGCCAAAAGTGGCATTTTCGGCCGATATATCGGTGCATCCCTACTGAAAACAATGCTATATGATATGGTCAGGAGAGGCAGAGACCCCAGGAACTTAACAGTTAGCAACATTAGTTGCAGTTTTTGAACAGATAGCTATTCTTTGTTTGACCTGCCAGTTCTCCAACCTGCAGGAAAAATGTAAACTTTGGGACTGCTGACGGTCATCTGAAAATATGGAATCTTGTCATTTTCATCTATTGGATATCAAAATGGGGTTTGGATATATCAATATCAAGTAAAAACCCCCTTAAATCCTGTGATTTTGCAGTTGAACAGAAAATGTATTCCTGGGCTTGTTTAGGTTACAACTATACAATTCTAATTCACAGAAATTAGGAACCGTTTAAAATACTTTTTATCTTGCAAGCACTGTGTAACTGTTGTGTTAGAGTGAAACTTAAAGTGCTTAAACTCGCATGCGCCGCCGCCATCTCCCTGGCATCGGGTGCTCAGGCTTCGGTTCTTGATTTGGCTAGAAGGGGGTAATTACTAACATACTATTATTATAACAGGATTTATATAGTGCGAACAGTTTGCGCAGCGCTTTACAACATAAGGAAGACATTACAATACAAGACGGTAAGGTACTAAACTACACATAAAAGGAATTAGCAGATGAGACTTTCCATCTGTATTTAATATCAAAGAGTCAATGGAATGCAGTATGTCATTTTAAAAACATTGTAACCCCAGAACGTATGCATTAGCAAATACAATATAGCTTTAAATCATAACACATATTGCAACTCTTCTTTGACTTATGTATCATAGTGTGTGTAGTGATCTTAACATGATACTTACTTCCTTCTCCATCATCTGTAACTCCCAGTACCAGGCGGAGTAGGCATTGGGCATGTTTTCTCTCCTTAAGCAGAACCTCAGCATACCCCGGGAGACGAAGGAAAAGACCAAATGCAGCCAAGGAGTGAGCAGGAATAGGGGACATGGTTTGCACAGCAGACTTGATTGGGGGAGGCTCTGAAGCAATAGTTTCAGGGGCTTCATAAACCAACTCTCCAGATTGTTCAATAGTAACCCACTCAAACTGATCGCTGTCCTTTGGTTTTTCTTGTGTTGTGGAGGATACAACAGGAGTACTCACCTATGAAATAAGTAAAAGTGGATTATTCTATTTGATTTAGGCAAGCGTAGCTCAAAGAACAAAGGCAAACTCTAAGGGAGCTACTGAGGCCCTTTGCTCTCTTGAGCCTAACATGACTGGTGTTAAGAGGTGTACTTGCATTTCCAAATTCTGGGATTCTTGACTGCCACACATAGCATACAAGGTTTGAAAGTCTATATTGTGTGAACAGGGGCTTATAAAAGCACACAACCCACAAAAGCATTCGACAAAAATAAAACAAAAGTTGAAGCTAAATAAGCTGCCTAAAACGGTTTATAAAGTAACCATTATAGAAATCCAAACCTACCTAGAAGAAATACATCAACACGCTCAACAGTCCCCAAACTAGCAACATTTTAGCCCATTAGACATCATAAACACATTTAGCCCTCCCATGACTGGAGTTTTATTCACGCTTAAATGCTCCAAGTGTAGAAGTCAGTTAACCTGACAATGACTGACTATTTTTTGTTTTACAGAGGGTGTGAGAAGACACACACACACACAGCAGAGCATTCAGCTCAGGTTCTCTGATGCAAGTTTATTTAATGTGCTCACAGAAAGGGGCATTTTACATTTGCACTTAAAGTGTGTTGCGGTAATGAAGGGGTGAACCACCAGTCATCTCCTGGTACTATTATAAATAATATATATGTTTGCGCATTGTGAGTACCTGAAACAGTCATAACAGAATAGAATTAAGTCTTACTTGCTGAATGACATCTGGGTAAAGCATAGGAAGCCGCTCAGCGATAAGGGCCAGCCCACCCATCCCTGCAAAAACTTGCAATGGAGACTGAATTGGGCAGGTTTCTAGCAAAGAGTCATCCAAAACTGATTCCATGCAGTCGTCTCCTGGACTTATTACTTCATCTTCAGGGCATGAACCCAAGAAATCACCATGCTCTTTAGAAAAAAACAAAAAAACAGACACAGTTGAAGACACCAAACTTATAATGCTACAACAATTATGTTTATAAATACTATACAATACCTTCAACCAGATACTACAATAGAACAGAATAGAGCTCAGCATGACTTTCTCATGGATATTAGAAAGTCATGAAAGAGCAGAATAAATCAGTGTCATGCCAGTATAAAAGTTGTGTGCAATACAGAAAAAAAAAAAATCCAAATACATGTAGTTTATTCTGTATTAAACATTTTACATTACAAGTTTTAATAAGGATAATACTGTTTGTATTGCCAGGAGTTTTGTTTAAAAGTGTCGGTTTACCGGAAGAAAAAAAATAAATCACAGCTTGAGATTCTAATAAGGAGGACGGTTCTCCCAATCCAGACAAACCATGCCCGGCTTGTTAAACCTCAAATAAAAGTATTATAGAGACAAACACAGAAATGATGTCTTCTCTGCCATTCACACGGTGCCTAGCCAGCTGCAGTGGCTTCTGTGGCAAGTACTGTACACAAAACCTCAGCTACATTAGAGGAAAGAAATTCCCAAAGCAACATAAGACATGCTTTAGCCACACGCAACAAAATCAGTCTTCAGAGGCAGGGACAGGCAAAACTGCCACAGCTCTGGTCCCAATAACGCAGCTAGAAATCCTCAGGTAATTGGCCTGACCTAAAAAAGCAGAGACCTGTGCTAACTGGGGCACATACAGTTTGTCATTGCTGAATGCAGGACCTTCGCAGGGAGAACACCAGTATACTTAATGATCTGGGAAAATCTGCACTTGTTGGCTAACTGGAAAGAATTCCAGAATTTTCCAACATCTGGTCTGAATCTACCAGTAGTTGTTAAAAGTAGAAAAATCTTCTAACTCAAGCAAACAATATAACAGAAGGGAAGAAAACATCTAGAGCTGCAGCTAACGATTATTTTCAAAATCGATTAGTTAGCCGATTATTAAGTTCGATTAATCGGATAAACAATAAAATAAAGTTTAAAAAATGGAGCAAGCCTGGAGCGGTGGAAGTAAAAAAGAAAAAAGATAGTGTGGTGTGCAATATAGTGAAATGGAAAGTGTAAAATTATACAGCAATGAATGCAGAATTGCATGGGCTATAGAGGACTACAAAACCCAGCAAAAGCACATTACCCACACTATTGCTGGGTTTTGTAGTCCTCTATAGCTGGTGGTATTTAGCATTGTACCACTTTATAATGTACTATTGCTGGTGGTATTCCGCATTGCGCTGTATAATGTATTATTGCTGGGACTTGTAGTCCTCTATACAGCGCAATGCAGAATATCACCAGCTATAGAGGAGAACAAATCCCAGCAATACATTATACATACAGTGTATAATGTATTGCTGGGATTTGTATTCCTATGTATAATGTACAGTACAATGTACCATCAGCTATAGAGAAATACAAATCCCTGCAATACATTATAGAGCAGCATGTGGGGGAAAGTGCAGGCTTACCTGAGCAGTCTTCCAGCAACTTGCTTCTGAGATCGGACCTGTCTATCAGCGGCTGTCATCCCCCCACCCCTGTTCCTCCTTACTACATCTCCCCGCGTGCCTTGCCGATCGTGGATGGGCAGGAAATGTGAGGCGGGGAGGAGGTGCGTTGTGTGGAGCGTGGATGCGAGCGGGTCTGGCAACGGCGAGCGTGAGGTGGGGAGGAGATGCGGCGCACAGCGTGTGGAGCTGTGAACAAGGCCAACTGATCGGAAGCCGATTAATCGATTGAAAAAGTTGACAACTTTTTCAATAATCGATTATAATCGATTATGTCGATTAGTTGTTGCAGCCCTAAAAACATCCATTCTCTCAATGATACTAAGAAAAACTAAGCAGGATTGGTGTGGAAGGGGTAATGTGCCCAAGGTCTATTTCTTCTTTAGGCGGTAGTATAACCTTAAGTTGCTTACTATTAAGCTGTGTCCCTCTATGGATGATAGAGGAAAAAATCGTTCTATCCATCCCACAAGGTAACCAAGGTCCCAAACGGAACCGCCATAGAGCTCGGAGTCTCCTCAATATTAAGCGTTTCCCGCACAGCGCGAACCAAGGCCACGACCAATTCGCGCTCCTGGACCATAAGGGAGGCCCCCGACACGTCGTCACTACCAGATTCCGCCTGGGAGGAGTCCCCCTGGTCTGGATGCGCGGCCGCAGCAGAAATTTCACCCTCTTCCTCCGAATCCCCAGAAAGGGCTGGGGAGGGAGCCGGCAAGGCGCGCTTTAGTGGAGGGCACTGCATCAGAGCGCGCTCAATACGGAACACAAAACTGTCCATAGCGGAGGAAAAAACCTCCAATGACAATGCAGCGCCAGCGGACCCCCCACCCGAAGATCCCGCAGGCATGAAGGGAGACTGGGAAAGGGGCGCAGAAGCACAGGCTGCGCAAAGAGGCGACGTGGGAGAGGTCCCTAAAGCGAGGCCGCAGCCCTCACAGGGCACTACGGCCAATCCGTCCCCACTGTCCATGCCCCCGGTAATACAGAGCCACAGGCAATTAGGGAGTACCCAGCAGGCACCGCCCCCACCGTGGTTGTCCCCAGCAACTGTCCTCCCGCAGGCAGACAACCCCCCTACAGCACCTGACTCCGTGTCCCAGCGCGTCCTCACCCGACCGCGTCCCGGCAAGAAAGACCGATCCGGCCGGGTGACGCGCTATTACAGGGACCGGGAAGCGGCGCACCGAAAGTGACGTCAGGAAGAGCACCACCATCCCATCCCCAGGGAGCCACAGCTGCTCCCGCAGGCCGGACAGGAACCAGGCAAGTCCTCACAGGGCCACAACACTGGCCCTATACACATACAGCTGTGCTGTATGTGTATAGGCAAATGTAGTTGGATCTGTATGTGCGTTATAATTAATCGAAATTAATCAATTAAACATTTTTTTGATTAATCGAACATGAAAATTGTAATCATTACCAGATATATATATATTAGTTACACAAGTTACACAAAAAGTATTATCTCATTCATTATGTGTTAAAGCTGAACTGCAGGTCAGGAGCTAAATGAACAGCTTAATCAAAAACACAACCGACACTAAAGGGGTAGCAGCACACTAGTGAAGCATCACTCTACTCTCTCCTCCTGCAAGAATACTGTATGGGCAGCGCATAACCAGCTGCTAGTGTTTGCTTTCCCAGTGGAAGTGGAAGTGCTGCTGGGCAGGAGGTCACAGGACACTGACACCACATCAGATTTAAGTACTGACACTGAATTTATTGAAAAATGATCTGTTACATATACAGTCTCTTGAACAATGGCTATGCCGTGCCGATTTCATATCATGGCAAAAGTAACAGACGGGGTCTGTCTGTTTAAAAAACAAAGTCTCCCCCCCCC